TGAATAGAGTAGAACCGAGCAGAGCTGGTGGAAACGGGGCTATAATGCCATTGTTTGTGTTTTGAACGTTAGGTACCCTAGCTTTATGTTTGGCCACTTGTGGTGTGTGAATGCTGAAGCTGCAGAGACATCTAAAAATACTCCATTGTCCTGATTCTGGAATCAGCATAAAATGCATCCAGACGCACAATAAACAGCCCACGAGCCACATGAGACAATCAGCAGTATTCCTTCTCTCTATATTTACACACACGCAGTCACACATACGCAAATGAGCCACGGGCCTATACGGACCCTGTGTACACCTGGAAGCCTGCCAAGCATTAGAGCTACCACTCAGCTGCTCCTAAAGCGAATCTCATTTCAGCTTCTCTTAGGCCTGTCTCAGAGGAGAGCCGCGTTTTAATACAGACATCATTACCTATCCTGGCTTTCTCTTGCTCTAAACACACTGGAGGATTACAAACAGGAATCACACGCACAGGTACGGATTCAAAAGCGACAAAGATACAGATGATACAGATACTTCAATCGTTCCCCCTGTGTGCATATGCCTGTATGGATAAGACTGCATTGCATTTCCTTTTTTTGGCTGCCTATTGATCAAATAACTCCATCAAACTCAAAGTATATGCCTCTTGTTTGGAGTCACCCCAAACATTACAGGGCTAAACATGGATCAAATTTGAACTCCAAACTCTGAAATATAATACAAACAAGCAAAATAGTTTGGAAAAAGTGTTTTGTTTTTTTTCTCATCCCATTTAAATGTAATTTTCAGTTGCCTCAGGTGTGAAAGAGGAGTTGTTAAAACCCAAAATATGCTTTTCCTACAGTCTAATAGATGCAATCTCCAGGCATCTGCTAAACCCACCTGTAAATTTACCATAGAACATTTAGGAGGACTATGGAGTTAAATCTTTTTCTGTGCAGAGATTTGTACCATTTATAATTAGAGTAAATAAGTCATCTTGGGCCAAAACTACAGCTGAAACCTCTGCACTGTGGATGGTAGTTAGCAGTTAGCTATTTAGCCTTTGTTTTGTTTTCGAACTCTTGACATTTGGAATTTTTAAATATCAAGAATGAAATTTGTATTCGTTTGAAATAGATTATTTTATTCCTATGCCCCGCCCACTTTGCAACTCCATTATGAATCTATGTTTTACATACTCGTTCTATTTCTGGGATTATAAAAGCTCTTTTGTTTTCCCAGTATGAGTGTTGGGTTAGTTGTTACTTAAAGGAGTTTATAATGTAACATGCAAAAATACAACATTTTCTTCTGTTTTTTTTTCCTCTTTCTTGTAAGAGCTCCTACCTATTTTGCTTCACTGAGTTTTTGTATTATGACGTGTATATTGTGTTTATTGTTTCGTTTCCAATTCTTCTTATTCAGTTTAAAGCAGAGAAAGATGTACCTGCAAAATCAAATGCAGACATCCACGCACAAGGCCATCTGGGTTTGTTTACAAAAGTCTGCAGAGTGTCAAGTATCTCTCCTTCCAAAATACTAGTGGTGTGATATTACCTCCCGTCGAGTGGTAAGCTGTTCTTTGCTAAATCCAACATGAGGAACAAATGTTGGGTGTCCTCGTGCGAGATGCAGGGACCAGCACTGACTGCGGGTGCTCCGATCACAGCCGTGCCAAATGAAACCAGGCGTGGGCCAAGAAACGCTCAAGAGTCCACACTGATGGCTTATAAGTGGAGAAAGTGAAGGACAAATGTGTACAGTTTGATTTCACAAGTGTTGTTGTCAAAAAGTGGGAGATTAGTGGCAGATTCTGAGTTATTAAAAAAGTTTGGAGAAAGAAAATATGCAATTCACTTTTGCGCTACACAACAACTGACATAGAAGACATTGAGATAAATAGCTAAAAGATGTAGAAATAGCTAATGATCAAGAATAATCAATGTAGAAATATTTCACCTCAAAACCATGTTGTAATGTGATCCATCTAATCATGTATGGATAAGACAAATACTACTAAGAACAAATGTCCAAACTCAGGCTGGGGGGCCCTCTGCCTTGCTAACCCAAAGTAGTCTTTGAGATCATAAACACAAGTTTACTTTGTCATCCATCCAACTCCAGCTCAGCCAATATAGACATGTCGTAACTTGTTTTAAAGCCCAGTACGTCTGGAATTTGGTCTTTGACTTTATTTGCACATACTATACTGACATGTTTTTTGATTGTGTCACTTACGTTAATGGAGCTAATGCAGCTGGTGAGATGGTAAACATTTGCCATTCAGCCAACATCAGCTCTGCTATAGTGTGGAAAATCAAACACACAGAGAGAGAATCAAGGCGCACCAGAGCTCGGATGTTTAGCCTCAGTTTCTTGAGGTTCTTTCAGGTTATTTCAGGATTTTTCAGGATTTTTCAGACAGAACATATTTAGGATATGGTCTATATAGCCAACGTTTACGTCACATATACGTCATAAATGGATAAGCATTCCTGTCACATCAAGAGAACAATCAGAACATAACAAGACATCGAAAGAACAAAACACGGACACACAATCATAGCAGATACACAATCGAGTCGTTGTGACCTACGGCCAGATCACTTTATAGCTATCTAATTCCCATTATAGATCATTATAAAGCTCAGAACAGCCCGATTCCAGTTGAGACAGTTTTTCAGTCTGCCCCTGGACTAGCCTGGTGAACTAAAGTGGCGCTGTTACTAAAAAGTTTGGGCACCCCTGCTTCAGATCAATGTTATGGTTCGGGTAAACTTTCCTGTCTCCATAGGATTTTTTTTTTTTTGTAAAGCCATCCTTCCAAGTGAAGCACCCGGCGACCGATGCTCAACTTGGTCAGGACTGTCTCTGCCAGAGCACTGTTCCCAATCCCCATTGTGCACGTTTTGGGTGCAGGGGGGAACTGGAACGCCCAGAGGAAACCCAACACAGACGCGGTAGAGCATGCAAACTCCACACAGAAAGGCCCAAGGCAGCGCGGGAATCAAATCTGTGACCTTCCTGCATCAGCGCAAACCCCCACTGCTAACCAGTTCTACATAGCAAAATATAACGGATGTCTTTTTTTTTTTTGCTCCAACCAAATAAATAGTTTCTGTATTACTTGCTAGAGTCAAGGGCATTTGAACTTAAGTCTTTTTTCTTCATCATAATAAAAGTTGAGAATTTTAGACTTCTTTACTTTGTGCTGAAGATAGATATTTTATGCTGCTACGTTTTATGCTAGAGTTAGATATTCTATTCAATATGTATTTATTTTTGTTATTATTCATTTATCTTGTGCTGTGTGCTTCTCATTATACTGTCTGTATCTTGTGATGCAACACTGAAATTGCCCCACTGTGGGACGAATAAAATAGTCTCAAATTCTTAAATGACTGGACGAATATGTGAAGCAATGATAAGCATATTTGAGTGTTCTAAAAGCAACGCGTTACAATCAAACGTAATAGATACAGCTGAACTCTGTGACATTACTGCTGCCTGCTGTTTCACATTTATTTAATACGATTCTGATGATACAGATTGGGTTTTTTTATCACAAAACATTAAAGCAAAGCCTCCTCCCTGTCGGCCGCAGACATCCTACACAGCGAACATTTCAAACTCGGTAATATTTATTTCATGGGTTTATAAGGGGTGGATAAAAAAAAGATAGTGTTGCTTTCATTGCAGTTTCATATCTTAACCCTGGCATTTCCTTAACGTTTTATTCCATCAGAAGAGGCCAGAAGAGACACTTTATGCTGCACCTTTATCACCTCTCTACTTTGCATACTTTCTTAATGCAGTGCAAAAGAATTCAGCCTGACGAAGACTTTTCTCTACACCCTTCATCACCAATCGTTCTATTTGTATTCCTCACACCCATATGATATTTTGCAGCCCGTGGTCTAGACAAGAGGGTCTTACATGCATTTGAACAATCCCTCAGAAAGAAAAGGGCAACTCGATATGAAATGAGATTTTGTATTGCTTCACTTTTTGTCTGTCTCCATGTTGATCAATAAACAGGTACTAACCTAATAGCATTTCAGAGCTGGACACGGGGAGAGCAGGAGATAAAAATCTGGGCTTTTTGTAAAGGTAGCATTTTGCTTTAAATGCAGACTACGCGAATGTTTATTGGATTAGGGGAAAGCTACGCAATTAGCTAATAGTCTATTGAAACAGGATTAAACTGGGAATTGTTAAAAAAAAAAAAACGAAGACATTGAATTCCAATGTTAGCTCCCTCTTGTTACATTTGAGTAGATCACTGATGAATAACAAAATAGTGAAAGAGAAAAGTAATGATTATATTTGCTAGTTGGGTAAACACACTATATCCTAATATGGAAATATAAGTTTATAATGATTCATGTTAGCCTGAGAGCGACCTATGACCATGAGATTTGCACAAAAAACTTGCTGAATGCTGAGATGTCGGAACTAAAATGAAACCTGAAGTGCTTTGCCTCAGTGAGGTTACAGAAGTTATAACCTGGTGTAGTTCAGCTGTATTTCTCAGGGTTCAGAAAGAATCCACTAAGTTCATAACCAGCCAATGCATCTACGATAGAGCAAGTCATACCGCTGATTGAAATGCATCTCATTACATCAATTTAACTTCCATGGCTTCCCTTTTCACTTGAGTGGGCCTATCGATTTATGCCACTAAAGCACTATGGGACTGCACTGTAAGTCGCTGTCCTTTTCAGCACCACTGTTGTTAGCCAGACACAAGCAAATGGAAATAAGTGCAAAGAACAAACAAAAAAAACATTGTTACCAAATGTTGTTGCTTCCATTCAACCAAATCAACACCTCTGAGGCTGTTCACTCTGTTTGCACTCAGTCGGCAGCCCCACCGCAGGCAGGGCCAGGCGCAAATTAAGGAAATTAAAAGCCAGCCATCCGCACCAACAACCTTGCATTGCCATCCCATTCACACTTGCAAACTATTGGAAAGATGGTGCCGCAGGGAGGTACACGATGATTTGAAATGAGGTTTATAACTCACCGGCTGAGTGGCCCCGGTTGGTGGCGTCGTGGTCACTGTCGCCCTGTTCGCTGTCTCCGTGGCCGCTGTCTTTGGAGCTGACAATATCTGCCTCTTGGAACGCAGAACTGAGAGAAGATGCCACAAAAGTTAGTGGAAATGAGAGGAATCGAGGAGGATTAAATGAGACACAAATTAATACAGTCACGGTGGTGGTCATCAGGCGTCCAAATTGGGTGTTACACGTTGCATGTAATGAAATCCAGTGCTCTAATAAGTGCTGCACTGTTAGTCATGGGACAGGTGCCAAGCTGGAGAAAGTGATACAGTGGGAGCGGTAGACTTTGCAAGCCTTTGTTGACCAATGCAGCAGTGCAACGATTTATCTCCATTCAAACCTATAGTATGCATACAGAAACTGACTAGTGCATGCATTGTTGGCTAAAATAGACTCAAAAGGCTGGTGGATTATGGCAACTGTAGGTAGGTAGATAGATGGATAGATACTTTATTGATCCCGAAATTCTAGTTGGTTAGTAGGAATTACTGTACTTCTAAAGATCTAGTATATTGTGTTGGTCTTGGTGGAAAAGTTTATTTTAAAAGCCAAATCAAAATCTATAGAATGTGTCTCTTAATTGTGAAATACAGAATGAACACACTTTCGAGACCAAAAAGCCATTTCTCATTTAATCGCATGGAAGAATACTTGAATTAATGCATGTGGTGTTTTTACTGTCAAGAGTTGGTTTTCAAAGAGGTTTAACTTTATTTTCATTGCACTCTAGCTGGCTTTTCAAAACTCAGTTTGAGATGAAGCGAAAATTGTAAGAGTGTAACTGTTTTCGCAAATGAATATGTTTGTATATGTAAGTTGATACTTTATTTATTAACATTTTATCCTTTTAACATGTTTGGACACTTCCTGTCTTTTTGCACACCCTGAGTGTTTCTATCTGTGCAAAATGTGACATGTAAATTTCTCCATTGTGAGATCAATAAATTGAATCTTATCTTATGAAATCACTGCTTTTTCTTTGGGCTTTAGACTGAAACAAAGACTGCACCATCTCGTGGCTGTATCTGAATGAAATACTCAACAAAACAGTATTATTATATAGGCCTACATATGGTTCAAATGTATACCTGTTCACACGTCTGGGTCTATCCACCAAATAGCTCAACTCTGCTCGCTGGTGTTTGGTCTGAAAGAGAGAAACACATATAATAGCATTATGAGTCCGAGGCAGCACAGTATATAATGGGAGTTTAATAAAAAGGGAGCTATCAGTGAGGGCGCAGCATTTCTCTGTGGCTGAATGAGTGGGTGAGTGGAGTAGAGAGAGTGGGTTTGGGAGAGCCAATGAATGCGTAAATGATTGAGCCTCACAACGCTGAAACTGAACAGCCTTTGTCCGCGTGCTGCCATGCCGGCTCGTGTGTGGAATAACTAAAGAAAAGGCAAGAGGCTGCGACCAGGCTGCACGCCCCAATCACAGCAAGAATCCAAGCAAACAAAATTCTCCTGAACTCAAAATCAATGCACACAAGTTATCAAAAAACCTGAATACCAAAACTCAGTATACACTGTTGAACAAATAGGTTTTGGGCATTGATCAAATCATTTCATTGGGCCTTTTTTTGGGTTTTACAAGTGCAACCGAAATGACCTCTCATATTTGTATCTGTGTCATGTTGTAAAGCATTTTCAACACTGTTCAAACTTCTCTTAAAAAACATAAATTGGACCTACATTTACACATTAAACATAAAACTTTATAAGCCCCTTCTCTCTATGCCAATTCCATGTTTAATTTATTTAATTTTAACTTGAATTCTAACTCAACCAAAGGAACATGCTAATTTTAATTGCCCTGACCACTAACTGTGACAAAGATTAAAGGCCAGTGGGCAGAAGCGCCAATAACAGATAGCAATGCCAACTCCCCCAGTGGGAGACTATAGTGCGCATGACCTCAATGTGTGGTTATGCTTTAAAGCTGTATATTATGATCAGGGGAATGTAGCAGGTGTAGTGTCAACTTTGCATTTTTAAGGAAATCGGACTGGATGACTGTATATGAAGAATAGAAATGCAATAAGGGAGTGAAATATGAAAAGTATGGATCAAATGAGCAGCCTGGTGCAGAGCTCTTACCTCGCTGGAAAGGATGCTGCCGTTGGATATGATGTCGGGTTGCTGGTCGCTGTATCCGGTGACCAGGGCGCCGCAGGGGTTGGCGTGCTCCGTGTCGGTGCTACGGGACGGGCTGCAGGGCTTCAGGAACATCAGGTCAGTCTTGGCGGATTCTGGAGTGAGACACACTTGATAACAGTAGGAGTTCTGGTTCTGATGGTGATGAGAGCCAAATCCCCCACCCACTCCGCCCACGCCCGACTCCTCCACGGGCACCTGTCCCACGGGCCCCACCCCTGACGTCACGTTGGTGCTTTGGACTAACATAATGTCCGACTTACTGAGCTTCTTCTGCTTGCGTCCTCGGGCCTGTCTGCTGCAGCACGCACTACAGCACAGGCAGCAGTCCCCAGCCAGGAGACACGTGGACAGGCTCAGCTTTTTGTCCTTCTGGCAACGCACAGCCAGTACAATCATTGCCAGAAGAAAGATGAATGACACAGAGCCCAGGGCAATAATGAGGATGAGAGTCAAGTCCAGAGAATTGTCTTTGGCTTTTGAAGTGGAGGTGCGGTCTCCACTGCGGCCCTCCACAACACTGTCCACCAGGACCACGCTGACGCTTGCAGAGGAGGACAGAGGGGGCTGTCCATGGTCCCGCACCTCTATGAGCAGGTCATAGAAGCCTTGGGGGTCACGTTTGGGGGATAATCTTCGTGCTGTCCTTAGCTCACCCGTCCTCCAGTCCATGCGGAACATTCCCATGTCGTTTCCGCGCAGGATGCTGTAGGAAAGACGCGCGTTCTCTCCATCATCCGCATCCATCGCCACAATGCGCGTCACCAGGTAACCAGGCTCAGCGGAGCGCGGCAGGTGCTCCTTAGCGGTGCCATTCTTCCCTATGGGGGCTATGACTGTGGGGGCGTTGTCATTCTGGTCTACTATGATCACATTGACAGTGGCGTTTGAAAAAAGCTCAGCTGCGCCAGAATCTTTTGCTTGAACCATGAAGCTGAACTCTTTTAGCTGCTCGTAATCAAAGGAGCGCAGTGCGTAAAGGTAGCCAGTTTCCTTGTTTATGGACACATATGTTTCTACAGACATGCCCTGGATGTCACATTCCAATATGGAATATGTAATGAGCGCGTTTTGGCCGATGTCCGGGTCTAAAGCGCTCACACCCTGAATGAATGCCCCAGGAACATTGTTTTCTGTCACGTAAACGTCATATACCGCCTGCTTGAAGCGCGGAGCATTGTCATTCTCATCAGATACGTGGACTTTAATTGACTTGCTCGCGGCCAGAGAGGGCTTCCCCTGGTCTTTAGCCACAACTGTTATTGTGTACGAGTCTATGCTCTCTCTGTCCAGGGGCCCGTCTGTCACAATGGTGTAGTAATTCTTAAAAGATGATTTCAGTTTGAAAGGTACGTCTCCGAGGATCTCGCAGCTCATTTGCCCGTTGTCACCAGAGTCTCTGTCTGAGACACTGAACAGAGCAATGACTGTCCCCGGTGCGTCCTGCTCACTCACAGACTCAGTCACTGTGCTGAAGCCTATCTCTGGCGTGTTGTCGTTCACGTCCACGAGTTTGACGAGGACTTTGCAGTGCGCAGGAACTGCATTGGCACCCAAGTCTTTAGCTTGGACATAAATCTGATGCGTGTTGCTTTCTTCGAAATCAACCTCCCCTGCCACTTCTATTCTGCCTGTCCTGTCGTCTATGCTGAACAAGTCTTTAATTCGTGGAACATTGTGGCTGCTGAATGAGTACACTACCTCCCCGTTCTGCCCCTCGTCCACATCGGTGGCGTTGAGTTGGATCACCAGGGTGCCAACGGGAGAGTTTTCCCTCAGATTCACACTGTACACGGACTGCTCAAACGTGGGCGCGTTGTCATTAGAGTCCAAGACTTTGACCACAAGCAGAGCAGTGCCCGTTCTCTGCGGGACGCCTCCATCCACAGCAGTGAGCACGTACCGGTGCACTGCCTGCTGCTCTCTGTCCAGTGGCTTCTCCAAAACGAGTTCTGCAAACTTGTTTCCATCGCTCTGCGTTTGCACATCCAGATAAAAGTAGTTGTTGTTGGTGATGGCGTAGGTATTCAGGGCGTTTGTGCCCACGTCGGGGTCGAACGCATTCTCCACTGGGAAGCGCGTCCCCGGGATCGCGCTCTCTGATATCTCCACTGAAATGTCCGTTTCGGGGAAGCTGGGTGGGTTGTCATTGATATCCATAACTTCTATTTCAACACGGAAAAGCTCCAAGGGGTTTTCTAAAAATACCTCCAGGTGCAATAAGCACGGGACAATTTGCTTACAGATCTCTTCTCGGTCTATTTTCTCCTTTACAACAAGCGCACCATTCTCCAAGTTTACCTCCAGATATGGGGTCCGTGAACTCGCTACTGTTTGGAAACGGCGAGCTGAAAGTTTAGTAATGTCCAGTCCCAAATCCTCTGCAATATTTCCAACCACAGAGCCTGTCTCCTGCTCCTCAGGCACAGAGTAGTGCAGCTGAGACACGGCTCCATGGATGAGTGAGAGCAGCAGCACTAAGCACAGCATCTCCCCCTGGCAAAGTGCACTTCAAGATGAAAGAAAAGAAGGAACAGTTAATTCCAGTTTTTACAACAAATGATCATTTCTTGTGTTTTCCTGTCCGCAAAAAGGCAATGGCTTGCACGGCAACAATGCTGTCCTGATGAACAATTCTCCTCTCTTGCTGTGCGTCAGTGGAACAATGTTTCGTTTTACGCGTGAGAATCAAAGCCATTTGATCCAGGCGTCAATTCTTTAGAGTTTTTAGCATCAGCAAAAACATAACAAAACTGGAGCCAGGGCGCGCAGCCAACACTCATATATGAGGAACATAAGCTTCACATAAAGTCACAAAAAACAATTTCAAGAAATCCCAAAAGACAGTCAAAAGAATCCAGAAGTTCCTTTGACGCACGGAGATGGATGATACAACTTGAATCTAAAAAAGGCAGGACTTTCCCCGTCTCTGTCTGTGCAGCAGTCCGCGGGAGAGACTGGAATGAGTGCGCTCTGTGCGGGAGAGTGTGCGCGGCTCAGCTCCTGTAGGCGAGTGAGAGCGGCGCGGTTGGTTTTGCGCACAGCTCCTTTCTCCAACAGCCAATGGAAGGCTCAAACAGCGGGTGTAATGGCACCTGATTGGGGCTCTGCGACGCCAGCCAGGGCTCAACATCGGACTGGACTAACAAAACCAGTTAAGGCACAAGCTGCTCTATCTCTCCACTCGGTGAGAATGGTCTGTGAGGGAGAAATTAAATGGTTTACACATTTAGTGTTTGGATAAAGTTGCATATCAGTTGCACGCGTGCTGGAGTTTTGATTTTGTCTTGGGTAATTCCTACTGCGAAATGTTGTAATTAAACTCAACCACGTTATTCCAGCAAAACGTAGCTATAAAGAAGAAAATTATGCCCAAAACGATCCATCAATAATGCACTATATCTCCGGATTAAATTAAACATTACAGCCCCCTAGTTCACAGTAGAGCTGAGATCACAATGTAAGATTTACGCATGTGTTGCTATCATGCAGAGGCGCGTCTTGGTCTGGTCCTGTGCAATACACACAGACAGAACCCTGTTATAGTTTTCCTATCTTGTAATCTTATCATTAATTCCCACACACGCTGGCCTCAACTGTTCATGATCACTTGCATCATTTGCAGATATAATTCTCAGAATGCTTAAATTAATAACGAAAATGGACCACTTGGAAACGAGACACTTAGCAGGGGTGTAATTACTGCACAGTTTTGAAAGGGATGATGACAAAAAGATGAAAACGAGAGTAATTGTGGATAAGTCTGGTTTGGAGAGAGGAGCTGGAGCAGAATCAGAGCGTTAATGCAAAGCGACGTGCCCATTGTGGCGCGGATTCAACAGCGAGTTAGACGCGAATCCCGCAACTAATCATAAAAGTCAGGAGAAACAAAGAGCAGGCGTTGGATGGATTTGAAGCCATGTCTGAGCTGGAGCTGTGTGACTGACTCGAGCTGACACGAGAGAGCGGCATCTCGGAGAAAGAGGAGAGAGAAGCGCGCGCACGGCACTCACAGATGCGCGCTCACGTTCCTATCACAGTCGCTGCGTGTGTTACGGAGATCAACGTCGCCCCCTCGCGTCTGCCCCTTTTTCTTCCCTTTGAAATGCATCCACGCGGGCATCAGGAAGAAACCCGAGCACATGTTTTTTTTTTTTCTTTTTTTGTATTTAATTGTAGATGAGGTGGGGTTATTTAGATCACACAGTTGTAATAGCTTGATGTGAGATATGTGTTTCTTGGCTTAAGTTAGTGTGGTGAAGGCACTGGTTTTTTTTCATTTAAGCAAAGAGTCATTCAAATATGGGTCTAATACTACTACTAATTTGATTTTCTTTACCTGCATTGAAAAACAAACATTGCACACATTTGAGCTGTATCAGTTATTCCAAGATGCAAAACACAATCTAGGCATCAAGTAAACTTGCATGTGAAAGCCTATACCCTGTCAGATCACTAAAGCTTAACAGGGCAAGGTTTGGTTTGTACAGTGATGGGAGACCTCTGGGAACACCAGGTGCCAAAGTACCAAACTGCTGTTGTGTCTTTAGGCAAGACATTTCATCCACATTAGTTTGAACCCGTCCCATCACCACTGTTTTGGAGCCAGACATGAATTTCATAACATAATTCAATGTTAATGTGGTTTAAAACTGAAGTAATGCTGCTTGAACTGCGTAGAGAAAGCAGATGGGTGTTTACTATATTCTCTCATTGCTTGATTATGGCATATACTGTCATTACAGATGTTCATACATTAATAAATCATACATCACATATCTACATGATATCTATTAGATTCAGATTCAGATTCATTTATTTGCCATTTGCAGTAAAACCACATTGGAAAAACTGTGCAAGACTGCCCGTGTGCACCAGACAGAGAGGACGGCACACACCAGAGCTCTTGCCACAGCACCATCTTTAAGCCGTAAATTGCAATGGACCGTTCAACTAGAAAATGTAAGGCAAGGCAAGTGTACGCCAGAAAAGAAAAATTTCAAATTGCATAAGCCATTAAAATAGATAGAATCAGTACATTACAGATACAATCCTCTAGTTGTATGCACATTTTAACAGAACTGTTGGGACTGGATTTGGACAACCGACATCAGAGTGGAATCCTGTCTCACATTTTTGTTCTTGATTTCTTGATTAAATTCTTTAATTCAATATACTTCTAGAAAATAAATTGAATATAGAGTGGGTTGAAAAGATTTGGGCCTCACTATTTTCAGGATTTGTCTTTATAAATCATTGGTTGTTTTACAGGCTTACAGTTAAAAATATATTATAGGAGACAAACACAGTGATATTTGAGAATTTAAATCGAGTTCGTATCATTTTTTTTAAATTTTCCAAACAGACAAAAATGTATAAAGGAAAATAATACATATTGTTAGAGGTTCCCAAACTTTTTTGTATCATACCGCTGTATCCTCCAGTCAGACTCAACATCAAGACAATGGGGTTGAGGACTGATTATGTAGACTATAGAAAACCTCCTCTGCTTGGACGTCCCAGCACTTCAGAGTGAATAAAACAAACTCATTAATATCCATCGTTAGTGTTTGTTTGACATGCTATAATGGTGCTTCTTTATTTTCCAGATAATGTGTTGACAGAGATGGGAACGTCGGACTTCCTCTTACTGTTGTCATCAATCACAGGCTAATCAGCGCCTGTCCACTCGGCCGTGCAGTGGGAGGAGTTCACAAGGTCAGTCAAAACTCTCCGCTCTGACTTGTCCTTATATGGGCAGCCACATGCACGGTCGTACATACTATATTCGCTTTCTTTCATTTTTCATACACGTTGATTACAGTTTAGAAGATCCCAGTTATTAATACTAAGATACCCAGAGCAGTCAATTTGGCGGCTAATAGTTTTGGAAGTAGGTTTACCCAGCTCATGTATTTTGATTAAGGTAAAAATATACACAATAGTCACTTTTGATGCAACTAAAAAAGCTATACAAATTTTGGGGTGTATTTCTTATATTTCCATGGGTTTGAATGGGAGCAGTCAAAATCGCGCTTTTGGGATTTAGTAGTTTCAGATTTCTGGGAGTTCTAGTGGAAATAGGACTCCCAGGACTTATATTAGTATGGTTCAAAACAAAGTATTAAAATAAATAAATACAAATGTAATAACTTCAAAAATATATAACTTCTGTCCCTTCTGTGGATGGCCTGACTGTTTATTGTTAAAAATGTATTTGAATACCATTGATTTTGATTATTATTATTATTACTTCCCAAAGCATAATAGACACATAGATAAAGCCAAATATTGTGTTTTTTGTATCTTAAAACTATCTCAACGACAACAACTTTGGGAATAACTTTGAGTAAAAAAATGGTGCATATAGTCCTGTGTGTTTATTCACTCTTTGTTCCTTTCTGTTCCGGTTGAAACCTGCTATGACGTTTAACTGTTATTACCTTGACCAACCAGACACTGAATGGTCTTCGTATAAAAATGTGTGGTTTAAGTGAGTCACAGGAGAATGAATACATTTAATTTCCAGTCGCTCACTCTGATAAACAGAAGCAATCTTTGCTCTTTACATCAATCACACTTTCAATCAAGACGATAAGACAAAATATTGTCTCTGTAGAAAAAGTATGAATTAGTTTTTAACTTCTCCCCTGAAATGAAGTGACTATATATTGGCAAACATGACATACATTTTATGGGATTCTATCAGCTTACTCCTGCATGAAAAACCTACACAGAATTAATTTCAGCTATAAAAATGTCCAGTGCACTTTGAGCTTTTGGTTAACTACATTTGGCCGCCTTTCTCTTTCATTCAGGGTTGTTTCTTCCTGAGAAACACAAGTGGTCATTCCCCTTTCACCAGCGGCACATTCATAATTTATAGGCTCCAAATGACAAATGGGACATAATTTTTGACAAATGATATCATAACCGGCTGTGATGTGAGGGGCTAACAGACTAGCATTGGTCTATAGGTAAAAGCTTGGCAAGCCATTAAAATTTCATAATATGAACAAAAAGGCAATTAAGATATCATTAAGAGGGTTAGCACCCGAAGGATACAGTCCAAGTCCATTCCCGTGCCCTTCAGTGGAGCACCCGGCCGCCTCTCACAACTGCACTGCAGAGACCACAATGGAACTGACTTGAATGTGTCAAAGATCTTAACGACAAAGAATTGTGTCTTTTAATATCTTAGGAAATCTTTTATTTGTATTTGTATTGTACCATCACCACTGGAAAATTATCTTTGAATCTTTAAATGTGCTCCCGGTGGAGAAAGAAAAGCGTCTTGTTAAATTTGGAGGCATTAACTGAGTGCACTCTGTAGAGCTTCTTGGTTGTAAATGTGTGGAAACACACACGAGATAGTTCTCCGATAAACAAACACCAAGTAATAATAAAATGAACAAATGCAAGCAAGTGTATGATTCATTTTTATTGGTTGGCATAAGTGGGAATCTAAAGGGTGGAAAAGGATTATTTTCAGACTTTTGATGCAGAGCCCAGTTCTGTATTAAGTGAAGGGAAAGTTGATAGCCTTCATTCAATCAGAATATAATATAGTGTCTGTATCTGCTGAAGTAAATGTGTTGCTAAGTTAACAACATACCTATTTGCTAGTGGCCATTTAATTGGGTTTTCTTCATCCCATATTTATGGCATGATACTTCAGGGTAATTATACTTTATACAAAATGAGTAGAGGAAAATTAAATAATTGTAAAATGCTTGTCATATATTTGTGTTTTTCCCCCCATTTTCCCCTAATTTTTCCCACGGGGAAAAAATAGGGGAATTCAATTTAAGGAAGTATGAATGCACAGTTGCATAAAAGCACTCAAATAATTTTCACTATAAGTATCACCCATAAACCATTTCCCATTGTCTCTCTTTTCTACAAATTCTGTAAAGTTTTAAAACTTTTAATCGCATGTGCGACACTTGAGCTTGTTGTAATTGCAGGGGTCCAGGAAGCCCAGTGTACTCTTGAGTATGACGAGTGCCATGCGCAAAATGGATGGCTGTGCCCTGAGCCCAAAGTGACTGTGTGTGTGATCAGTGTCCATCGCAGACAGCTGCAGGGTGACTCCCCGCCCCCACGGCCATTACTCAGTCTGATGGATGAGCGGACAGGCGAGGGAGTGGTGCCTCTGCAAGGAAGGAAGGAAAAAGGCAACCAACAACGGGTTTCGAGGGAGGAGTGGATAGTACATTAGGACAGAAAGTGTGGAAGAGCGTGAGAGAGGCTGTGAGGACAGAAGAGCAGGGCCTCGGGAGGGCGAGGTGTTAAAGTGACAAGTGCAGTCCTCTGAGACACGCCTGTGAAGCCATGCAACAGTACAATAACAGGTGGACGAGAAGGAGACAACGATCATGACACTAACTATAGACTAACTCATTTATTTTCACACAAACAATCATCCACCATTGACACACACAATTAAAGCTGTAGCTCCACTCTTTGTGACGTCTATGACAGACTACTATATTTCCAAGTTATTTTAGAACACATGCATGAATAACTACAAACACACTAGCCAAAAATCTCAGGCAGGCAGGCCACGATATATGTTCCGTCGGTTTTTTCTTACATCAGATCTACTTTTTCTTACTTAGTTTCAGTCCACAGGAAAATTGTCAGAGGTTTTTCTATTGACTTATGAATGCCATGTGTGTTACCATTAGTTATGGACACTGAGCCTAATTCAGACGATATATTCTTTGGATCATGGCACCTCGTGTTCTTTGATAACTTGGCTGACTAAATGGTGGCTTGAGTAAAAAATACCAATCAGGAAAGGAGAGTGGCTGAGTAAAATGAAGTAATCTTTTCAAGAATGCTGGTTATTCAGAGCTAAGCTCAGGCGAGAAATGGCCAAACAAGATTGAATTCTATATTAATGTAATGACAACGTTTCACTGCAAAATGTATGGAAAGAAGGATCAAGATTCCGAGCCCTGTGTTGATACTGTTAAAATTATACATTGAACAATGGGAGATTGGTGTAAAGGTAAAGGTACACTTTATTAATCCGTACCTATTAACTCGTACCTCTACATTTGACCCATTCTATCAGGAGCAGTAGTCACCGGAGTACAGCGTTGG